TACATCTTTATCTAGATTTTGTGCTTTATAACTAACTAATTCTAGTTACCCAACTGTATTCCTCCCATGACTCACAACTCCAACCTCTATATACTAGTACACCTGTTACATTTAACCATACATCAATAACTTCATTTTTATTTGTTGTCACAAAATTTGTTCAACGTTACATATAAAATATTTAAACATAAAATATCTCAATACTGTGCTTTAAATTTATTATAATATTTTTCATTATTTGTAACCTTTTTGCAATGGCCAGAAATAAAAGAAATTATGATTTATTTTATACTTCTGCTTCAAATAATAATGAAGAAAACCTATTAGTTGATAACAATAGTGGATGATCAAAACACCAACATTTTGATAAAGAAAGTATCTGTTGGAAATAGTTTGAACCATTCAAAGTTCCAAGAGAGAATGGAATAGAAACAAAATGTATGGTTCCTGGATGTACAACAAAATATATGTGGTGTGAATCTACTACTAATCTTATTAAACATCTTCAAATTAAGCATGGTATAATAAAATCTTCATCAACTTTAACTTCTGCAACATCAATCACCAACTTAGTTTATTCCAAGTTAAAAATTAATATTCTATTAATTAAACTTTTTATTCCTTCTGGAATACCTCTTAGTTTTATTAATAATTTAAAATCTGCTGAGTTTATCAATCTACAATACGAATTACCTACTTCTAATATTCTGGAAAAGCAAATAATCAATGTATATGATTATTTATTCCTTTAATTGAAGTTAAAAGCCCAACAAGAAAAATTTGTTATGTTCTCAATTCATGGTAAAAAAACTGCTTTGAAAAAATATATAATAATCACTTGTCATTGGTTGACTGAAGATTTAGAACTCCATGAAATATTATTGTATGGCCAGGTTAAATTTGAGACTTGAAAGTCAAAAGGTGTGTTGGTTATTGTCCAGCAGGCTATGGGGTTGTGTGTTGGGTTCGTGCCATTAGGTGTAAAAATATGGTACTCTAAGATAGAAGACAAATATTTCTATATAGATTTTTGTAAGATTTTAAATAAATAGAATTTGACAAATTTGAAATTTTATCGTGATAATCACTGTCGAGATAACCAAAATGAGAATTACTGTGACTGTGATGAAACTATATTTTCTGGTGATTGTGAAATGCTGTTTCTTTATCCTTTATGGGAAGTGAAAATTTTACCAGCGAGATATCAAAAGCTTATACATGTATATGATGAAGAAGATGATGATTTGATTGATAGATATAATATAAAAGCATTTATTTCAATTAGTTTAAAGCATTGGGCTATAGAAAACATTGATACTCACGGAATATCTCAATTTGCCAAAGCTATTAAAAATGCAACTTTGAATCTTTGTGATGTTATAGAATTTTTAAAGGATGAAAGAACACAAAGAGAAATAACAAAAATGAAAACAGCATTTAGTTATTTAACAGCATTGACATTCAAAATACAAAAAAAATTAATTGTGATTGCCATTATCATAAAATAAGATTTCTTAAGTTAATGGAGAAACCTTTTATACAGCTAGTTAAAAATTATAATAGTTATGAAGATGCCTATATCAAAAAAACAAGGAAAACATTTTAAGGATCTTTTATTAGATCATTTACCATTTAGCATACTTTCTGAATTATTACAATTATTTAATTCTCTAGTAAATACTATATGTAATAAAAATTCTCTATCTATATCTATAGAAGAATATATGGAGATTATAGAAAACATTTTTATTAATGGGGTTTGGGTCTCATAGCTTAGTGGTTAAGCTCCCAAACCCCCACAGACTAAGTCAATGGTTCGAGTTGGGCTGGAGGCAAATTTTAATAAAATTTGCTTCTGTAACCTACAGGGGGCCATTAAATTGAATACGAAGCCCTGTGGAAAGTCCAATGCAGTATGAAACCAGAATAAAAAGTTCACAGAACAGACCAGGTCATGGAGCGTAGGCACTATGTATGGTGTGGTACTATAAAAGGTTAGGTTACATGAAGATCGCGCGAATTAGTCCTTCGGTTGGGGTAACCTGGAGGCTGTACCAACATCTCTGCATCCAACTTATGGGGTATTTGCTTGGAAGGGTGATATAATAGTAGCTAAAACTGAAGTAGTAAGAGAAGCGGTGATACATGACCATGGGCTGTGGTAAAGAATAATATTTTAACTAGAATTGAAAGCACCTCTGGCTTTGCGAAACAACTAATTTAGGAAAGTTACTTGGCGTAGAGGGTGTAACCTGTCTCTGTACAACTAAAGGAACCAATCAGGCTCTGGTTGTACCTATATAGAAGTCTATGACGAAAAGAGTTAAGAATTTACCAGTATGAATACTACACCAACCAGGGTTGAGATACTTCAAGCTGGAAGTTATACAATATGTACAACAGAGGTCTATGGCTGAAAGAGATATATCTCGAAACAAGTTCTTAATGAATACCATAATAGGAAGTACTTAAGGGACAGATAAGTTATATAGCACATGAAATACCAAAAAAAGAAACATTAAGATCTGCAGAAATGGGACTGATAACCCGAGTAAACCAAATTGGGAGTTACTGAGGTTTGATTGTGAGTCATGGGAGGAATACAGTTGGGTAACTAGAATTAGTTAGTTATAAAGCACAAAATCTAGATAAAGATGTA